GGTGAGCTGCCTTCATTGCGCCTGTTTTTGACGGGTGAATCCGCGTGCGGGACTCTCCCCCAGAGGAAGATTGATGTGTCCACTGGGCGGATCGACGCTGCTGTTGAGATCCCCTTCGTCATCGGCGACGCGGATCCTCGCACAGTGTTGGTGTTTGCGTGTGGTCCGGCTGGCCTGGTGAGGAGTGCGAGGGACGCCGCCCTGTCGCTTGGTGTGGACTTCCACGAAGAGACATTTCTGCTTTAGAGGGATTGACTAGCCGGCAACTGTTGTGTATGTGTTCCCATTGTTTTTCTTTGTCTATTTGTTGAAAGGTGACTGCAATGCCTTTGTGTGATTGTGTAGGATATAGTGTAGAGAGGGGACCGCTTTCCCCCGCTTTTTTTCTTTTTATTTGCGCCTGTAAAAGGCGCAGTTAATTTATGTTCCCTATTTTGTGGAGGCGTGTGTTTTTTTTTTTTTTTGAAACTCTGTTTTGCGGCAGTGAACAAACATGGACAGAACATATTGATTTGAGGGCAAACGTGGGACAGGACCTTGGCAAGGATCTAGTAGTATCGCTGTTTATATATTTCCGCCAATGTCCTGTCCATCCCATTAGTTTAATCGTTTTCTTCTCTCGCTGTGTCGGTGTCCTTGCGTGCGTATGTGTGTGGTGGTCCTCCTCTCGTGCGAGTTGTGCAGTGCCAATTTTGTGTCCCATTCCTTTTTTGGGTATTGCTGCTGCCTGCAAGGTGACGTTGTTTTGTGGCTTTGGGAAAGCAGGCGTGGTGATGGGAAGAACAGTTTGGTAGGAACGATCGATTTTGCGCTCCGGTGTGTGTGTGTGTGTGGTGCAACCGCTGCTGATAGGGGCGTACGTGGGCACTTGATGGGTGTGGATGTTTAACTTTATGACGGCTGAATATGCGTGCAGGATTTCATCTGCTCATCGATGAGGCGTGCACGTAATACCGACTGGGACGAAAAAGTGTTGACGCATTTGGCTTGGTGTTTGGTTGCCACGTTTTTTTATTTTTCATTTTTGGCTAGCCGATATATTATTATTATTATTTTTGCTTATTCGTTTGTTTATTAATTGTGACTGTTTTCATAATGTTCAGGGAAGTAATTCGAATGGGGTGAGTACAACTTTGACAACTGCCTATGGGAAGTGTAGCGTAAGGAACACAACTTGTAAAATTGGTTTCCAGTTTTGGTGGTGGCCAAAACGGAGGTGTGTGTGTGTGTCCTTTGGATGGCATGCTTCGTTTCGCCGTATCCCCGCCATTGGGAGAGAAAGGGATGAGGCGTCACGGAGAACTCATTTTTGTCTGCCACGGCGGCTAAAGAAAAAGCGGAACTAATTGATGGGAGTTTTTGTTTGTACAGGTGCCCCCGGTGCCACAGCTCCCTGATTTTCCGACAGTGTTTTTGCCGTCTCGGGCGGCGAAGTTGATTCTTTTCTGTCTGATCAACTTACTTTGTTTCATTTTTGGCCAATACCTTTTGCTTTTGATGCTGTGGACTCATGAAGGAAAAGCAAGAAGGACACACAAACCAACATACAAGGCTACGACGAGCAATGAGCGTTCACACCCCATTTCTGTCGCCACCCCAGTATCCCAATGTTCCTCAATGGGGCACAATAGGCTTGATGGCCGCTGGCGTGATTTGTAGCGGGATTGCATCGATGGGCCTTTCTTGGTGGCACAGTGCGGACTACTTTCACCACCAGGGATCTTATAGCAGAGGTTGGGTTGGTTACGATGTATTCACGTTTATTGGTTTGCTGCTGTTTACTGTTTTTGCCCCTGTCGGTGTGACGCTGCTTTACATGGGTGTGAGTGCACTGTTACGCGTGTGGAACAACACACTGGGGATGGTTGCGTTTGGTCTTGTGGGTGCCGTCTTCACTGCCGTTGGATGCCTGGGAATGTTCTGGGGAAATGAAACGATGCGGTGCCTGGGTATTTTTTGCGTTGACAGCACCAAGTACGTTGAGGTGCCTGGATTGAGGCCGGAAGCCGGCATCGGTTTTCTTTCCGTCACCGGCATCACGGTGTTCCTCTCGCTTGTGCCAATGGGCCTTGTGATGCTGCTGCAGGTGGCTCTGAGGATGACCGGGATTGATCGCCGCTGGCTTGCGCCAATACGTCAGAAGCTTTGCGTCAAGCGGGTAGTTGTTGTTCCCTTTGCTGCAGGTGCGTTCGTTCTTGCTGCGTGCTGGGCAATCATTACTTTCTACGTTCCCAACTCATGGGAATACTTTTCAGCGAGCAGAATTGCGAGGAACGCGCAGCTGCACGCCACAGGAAATTACACGTTGTGTCGAACGGCGAGGAATAACTTCACGTGTCCGGAGCTTCCGTGGGCGTGGGTGTTTACGCGTAACTGGGTTTGGAGCGATTCCGTGGTGCTGAAGATGTATCCGAGCAACATCTTTTTCTTCTCGTACCTTCTCATTTTGTTGCTGACCGTCACCGTCATTCGTGCGAGTCGCGCCGGGCGCAGGTTCCTGAAGAGGCGGTGCCCCCTTCTGCGGTGCTTCACTTTGGGCGAGGCGAGTTTTGCCTTTTTGACGTTGGCGATGCTGCTGCTGTTCTTCTTGTACTGGATACAAGCCCATAACTTTAATATGAGCTGGACTGGAGGGAGTGATGCGGGTATAAAGGCCTCTGAGCGGTGGGCTCGCGCGCTTGGTCAGTTGGCGGTTGCGTTGCTGTCGTTGCTCATGTTTCCCGCGAGTCGGTTTTCTGTACTCCACTCCATCCTGGGCACCTCGTGGGAGTCTTTGATCTGGGTCCACAAAGTGCTGGGGTATGGGATGTTGCTTGCGACGGTTGGCCACATGGTTGCTTTTTACGTGTGTTATGGCCAGGCGGGGAAACTTCCGCGTGGCATTTTCTCCATTCCGATGGTGGACAAACCTGGACATATTAACAATTTTACTGTCCCGCTGATCTCGCTGACGACGTGGTTCATGATAGTGGCCATGGGTCTTTTTGCGCTGGAGCCGGTGCGACGCAGGTTCTTTGAGCTGTTCTACTACCTGCACATCTTGTCGTTCTACATGATTGCTCCCACGGTACTGTGGCACTCTGCAGCTGCGTGGGAGTACTTCCTGCCTGGCCTGACTGTGTGGTTTGTGGACCGGCTGTTGCGGATGCACCGGAGTGCGTCGACGGTGGAGGTGGTGTCTGCCGTTGCAAGCGGCTCGTTTGTGGAACTGAGCTTTCGCCACGCGTCTCTGAGCGCAGCACCTGGGCAGTACGCTTTTGTGAACATCCCCGAGTTGTCTCTCTTGCAATGGCACCCGTTCAGCTTTAGCAGCGCATGCGAAGGGTGCTACACGTTCCACATCAAGGCTATGGGGGATGACAGCTGGACGGGACATCTGGTGAAGCTGGTGAGTGAGCGTGGCAGCAGCCTCTCATTAAGTGTTGACGGGCCGTGTGGACGCGTTCACGAATTTGACGACTACGGTGTTGTTGTGCTTGTTGCCGGCGGCATCGGCGTGGCACCGTGCGCTGCGATCTACAGCCACCTGCGTCGGCAGAGAATGGGGGGTAGTTGGGCCCCTGCCGTGACACTGCTGTGGACTGTTCGTGACGCCGAACTGGTGCCCATGATGTCGCACCTGTGGAGTGACGGCGGGGACACTTCCGTGGCGAGCAATTCCTCGTTGGAGCACAGCATTGTCTCGTGTTCACGGAACACCGCCGGTGAGCTGCCTTCATTGCGCCTGTTTTTGACGGGTGAATCCGCGTGCGGGACTCTTCCCCAGAGGAAGATTGATGTGTCCACTGGGCGGATCGACGCTGCTGTTGAGATCCCCTTCGTCATCGGCGACGCGGATCCTCGCACAGTGTTGGTGTTTGCGTGTGGTCCGGCTGGCCTGGTGAGGAGTGCGAGGGACGCCGCCCTGTCGCTTGGTGTGGACTTCCACGAAGAGACATTTCTGCTTTAGAGGGATTGACTAGCCGGCAACTGTTGTGTATGTGTTCCCATTGTTTTTCTTTGTCTATTTGTTGAAAGGTGACTGCAATGCCTTTGTGTGATTGTGTAGGATATAGTGTAGAGAGGGGACCGCTTTCCCCCGCTTTTTTTCTTTTTATTTGCGCCTGTAAAAGGCGCAGTTAATTTATGTTCCCTATTTTGTGGAGGCGTGTGTTTTTTTTTTTTGAAACTCTGTTTTGCGGCAGTGAACAAACATGGACAGAACATATTGATTTGAGGGCAAACGTGGGACAGGACCTTGGCAAGGATCTAGTAGTATCGTTGTTTATATATTTCCGCCAATGTCCTGTCCATCCCATTAGTTTAATCGTTTTCTTCTCTCGCTGTGTCGGTGTCCTTGCGTGCGTATGTGTGTGGTGGTCCTCCTCTCGTGCGAGTTGTGCAGTGCCAATTTTGTGTCCCATTCCTTTTTTGGGTATTGCTGCTGCCTGCAAGGTGACGTTGTTTTGTGGCTTTGGGAAAGCAGGCGTGGTGATGGGAAGAACAGTTTGGTAGGAACGATCGATTTTGCACTCCGGTGTGTGTGTGTGTGTGTGTGTGTGTGTGGTGCAACCGCTGCTGATAGGGGCGTACGTGGGCACTTGATGGGTGTGGATGTTTAACTTTATGACGGCTGAATATGCGTGCAGGATTTCATCTGCTCATCGATGAGGCGTGCACGTAACACCGACTGGGACGAAAAAGTGTTGACGCATTTGGCTTGGTGTTTGGTTGCCACGTTTTTTTATTTTTCATTTTTGGCTAGCCGATATATTATTATTATTATTATTTTTGCTTATTTGTTTGTTTATTAATTTTAACCGCTTTCATAATGTTCAGGGAAGTAATTCGAATGGGGTGAGTACAACTTTGACAACTGCCTATGGGAAGTGTAGCGTAAGGAACACAACTTGTAAAATTGGTTTCCAGTTTTGGTGGTGGCCAAAACGGAGGTGTGTGCGTATATATATATATATATATATATATATATATATATATATGTATACTTCTTTTGTGTGTTTCTGTGTACATGTGTATCCCTACCTTTTTTTCTTGTTGGGTGTATTGGGAGTGTGCTGGCGTGTGTGTTTGCTTGCATAGGGTCCATCATACCCATATAAATAGTTATTGATAGGATACACAGTGTGTTGGTGGGGATCATTCTATTAATGTCACAGAAGCTTTTGCTTCACGTAGATGTGTTGCGTGGGCGTAATTATCCGCAGACGGAGGACGATCCGTGCGCATGTTCAACACTCGTGCGTTTGTTTCTCTATAATAGCAATCTACAGGAGACCATAGCCGATGTGTTTAGGACAGGAATACAGGAGAATTCCAACGCCCCGTTTTACAGTGCGGGTGTGGACTTTGACGTCCCTGCGGGGCTGGAGAGCGTGGTGTTGGTGGTTGAGGTGGAGGAGACAACCCGGCGGACGGAGCCGTACGTCCTCTTCTATGGTTTTCAACCGGTGTCAATGACTGGGAAGGGGAAGTGTGAGGAGGTGATTACGTTGACGTGCACCAACCCGGTTGAAAAGCCAGAGGAGGCAGCACAGGAGGCGTTGTTGGCCGGGGAGGATCCGACGTCGTGTCCGGTTCTTACTATCCGCTACCAAGTGATTCGTCAAAAGAATGCCGAGGAGGTGAGGGATGTACACGCGGACGTTGAGTTGCCAGCCACCCCGGCTCTCACCGGAGCCACCAGCATCGTTCCAAAGGGCTCCCGGTACGTGTGGGTCAACCTCACATCGGACCCCCGCTGGACAGAGGCGTTCCGCCACACGCTTGTGGAAAGCTGGCGGGACAGGGCGCCACTGGTTGGCAATGCGGTTGCGAAGGAGAGCCTACAGGCGTCCACGAAAGGTGCCTCCACTTCGAGGCCTTCCTCGCAACCTACACGTCTGATGGATATCCGTTCGATTGGTGATGTGATTATAAAAAGGTGGTGCTGCTGCCGGGCACATGAGGTCTTGACACGACTGCGATTGTGCGCGGAGGCCTTCGACCGCGGGGAAAGGACGATTCACTTCAGTCAAGAGCGGGAATTGTCGTATAGACTTCAGCGCAAGGAGCGTGTATGCCTTTTGCAGGAATTGGCAAAGGCTTCTCTTGTGAAGATGGGTATCTCCGAACTTCGTGACACGCTGGATCACCTGTGGATTTTCTTTTCCATCGGCATCAAACACGATCCGGCGGGCACGCGTGTTCTTACCTACGAGGCGCGCAAGAAGGTGAGAGAGGCCAGCTTCGACAGCAAGGACAAGGCGATCCTGCAGTCAAGCCTGCTGAACTTTCTTGTCCCCTCGCTCACCATGGATCAATGCAACGAGATTGCCGTGGCTGATATGGAAAGCGCAGAAAGGGCGGGGAACATTTTGGAGGAAACGCCCCCGACTGGCGCTAATTTTGGCAACAATGCAATGTCTGCACCCGCCTCTGAGGTCGACTTCTCGATGGCGCTTATTGAATACATCGGCGCGCTGCTGGACACCCTCACAGAGACGGAGCTTGTGGCTGCCCTCAAGGCATTCGAGCCGGCGGTGGTCAACGCTCAGCAGCGTATTAAGGCCAAAGCCAAGGAGGAGATAACACGTATGCGCAGCAACTTCAGGGAGCCAATGCGGCGGGAACTGACGCCGTACAACCCCGGTGATGGTATCAAGATTGACCATCTCGACAGACTGGGCCGCAGGAAGAAGAGCTACCACCCACGATGAATTTTCCGCGGGGAGCGGAGAGCCTAAATTCTCCTTTATTATTATTTTTAAACATTTCTGTTAAAATACTTCTGCTGCTATCCCCACCAATGACTTAAACATGCAGAAGAGGTTAAAATAGAGAGGTGAGAAATAACGGAAGCGAAACGAAGGAACAAAAAAACAATGGCAAAGCAGATGCAGAGCGTAAAAACAAACAAACAGACAAACAGTGCATTGCGAAAGCACTGCTCGGTAAATGCTGCACTGTTACCAGCCATGCCATTTTTACGTTATTGGAGTTTTCCGGATGCATGCAATTATTTTGCGTAAATAAACTACAGAGAGAAATGAAATATGGTGGTGGTGACGATGACTCTGATGTATATATATATATATAAATCTGCCTCTCTCTCCATATATATATATATATATATATATATATATATATATATGTACATAGTATAAATTTCTCTGGGTGAGTGCAGAAACCCAGATGGAGAAGAAAGAATGACTGATTGCATAAGACACTTGCAGTGGCTGCATGGAAATTTGTTGTTAAGCCCCTTTTTTTTTCTTTTATACACCATTTTCTTTGCATATGCGCCCCCCGCCCTCTTCCATATTATATATATATATATATATATATATATATATATATATATATATATATTGTATTACTACGATTTTTCTAAAAGCTTTTTTGCCTCTTTGTCATGTGTCCAACAAAGGCTACAGGAAAATGGAATTTCCGTGCCAAACGGCGATGACAAGAAATGGAACGCAGATCAACGAGAGTGGGAATGCATATGAGTTCCCGGAGTGTTCGTATGATATTTTCACTCTTAATTGTGTGTATGTAACGTCTCCATATGGACAAGTGACTGTGGGATAAGTTGCGTGAATAGGGTGGACAAGGAAAATTTGTTGAGCTAAAACTATTGTGGTTTTTTTGTGAATACTCCTATTCTGAATAATCCTGTATATATGTGTGCATGTGTGTTTTTGCCTGTAGGTGTGTATCTTGTCTTTTTTCTTTGACCTTCACTATTGCCCACTCTGGGGTTTCTTTTTTTTTTCTTTCTTTTCTTCTGAGTAAAGAGCTGGGAGAAGGTGGCGGGGGAAGGGGTAGGAGGGGCTGCTGGGAGCCTTGAGGCGGGGAATTATTGCTCACCGAAGGCTCTCTCTGTATATATATATATACATATTTGAAGCGCCAGACATCTCCCTTTACGGACACAGGCACACACGTAGTTTTATATGCGCATATATTTGTTTTATTTTGTTTCTGTGTTTCTCTGTTAACATTTTTTTTTTTTTTACTTCCCATTTGGGCAGGGAGGGGGAATTTCACTCTGTTGTTGGGAGCGGGCATGCCATTGGGAGGGAGACGATGCATAAGATGCGGGCGGCTCGCTTTTCTATTGGTTTTATTGGCATTTCTGTTTATGATGGATGCATCTTTTTCATCGGCGATGGGGGCGAACACGGTTCACGTAGGGAGGGCGACGTGTGGCACGACGATTCCAATCGACAGCCATTGGGTGACTGGACCCATGTGGTCCTTCCGGGGGCTTGCATCGGGCTCCTTCTCGCGTCGGACGAGTACTGTGGACTCCGCGCTTATTTTTGGACGAGCCTACATGAGTGAAGAAATGGAGTTTATTCTAAACTCTGAGGCGGGCATGGGCCCGAACAGCGTTGTTGTTTTCGAATTGAATACAAATTTGGAGCTGGAGAGTGAATGTGAGTTCTACTGGTCTCCGCTGAAGGCGGCAATGGACGGCACGGAAATAACTGCAGCGCGTGTGATGGCTCTGGGCGCCAGTGCCGGATCTTCGTGCCCCATGCCATTTGAGGTTGAGGTCTCGCTTTTGTACGATGAGGAGGTGTCACATTTTCTGCGGGTTGATCCCATTAAAGGCGGGACAAATTCCGTTAGTTTCTCAACGAAAGACATGAAATGGCCAGTCATTTTCCGTGTCCCAGATAAATGTGAGGTCTACTTGCTTTTACTCACGAACCGCCAAGGATCCATTCATAGATGGTATGTGTGGATCCCTGCGACGGTGTTTACAGCGTTTGCACTGCTATTTTTCACCACGGTCATGCTACTTCCGCGTGATTTGCCATGCGTCATAACGGCTATTGTCATGACACTTTTCTTTGTGGGCTATCTTGGGAGTTGCATTGGTCTCGTGATGGAAATATTGTCTTGGCAAAGCGGCCTTGGAGTCATGTTTCCTTTTCCTGAAGCCGTTACCCTTTACTGTTGTCTGCCAATTTTTTATCTGCTGCTCTCTGTCGTGGTGCTGCTGCGGCATCGTCATCGTGGCATCTTAATTCGAGCTCTGTTGCGCCTTGCAGTCTACGGATTGAACTGTGCACTCTGCTGCGGGTACTGGGTGGCAGGGGACGTCTTGCTTGGCTCGCTGACGCTGCTGCAGTTTCTCTTGTCAAACCTGTTTTTGTCCGCCATCTACTCCTACTTTGCCGTCATCCTTGAGCGGTCGAATTTCCCAGTGGAGCCGCTCCCCAATGCGATCGGATTTCTCTGGTTTGCCCCGCTCACTCCCTTTGCTCCATGCCTTTTGATGTACTACGATCTGTACATGATGAAGGAATGCGGCCGAACAAACGTCAGCTTCGCGTTAGTGGTGAAGGAGACAGTGCTGATGTACGACACATTGACCTCCTTCCCACTTCTTTTTCTGCAAAATATATGGGGCATTGCGTTGCTGGCCACTGCCGCTGCGTACCACATGCCGTTTCTTGTCCTCCTCTTTGCATCCCTCCTGCTCTTCACGCTGCACTTCATTCTGTCGGTCAAGCAGTACGTCAAATCGCGCCGTCTTTGGATACACCATGACGATATAAGGGGGGGAAAAGGCCAATTTTCTTTCTTGTGCGATTGGTGCACGCTGTGGACTTCACTGGAGCATTGCGTTTGCAGCGTCCTTCGCCAAACCCCAACGGAAACAGAAGACCGACGAGGATGCTACCCGATGACAGCGGTGAGCGGTGACAGGCAAGATGGACGCACATGCGGGGTGTCCGCGTGGCAAGCTCATGGGACCAACGGGGATGAGGCGCCGTATTCGTCTTTATCTACAGATATGGGCATTGAGGGACGGGAGCAGAATGGCGTCTATTGGCCAGCAAGTGTCAGCATGTAAGTAATTAGAATAAAACTAAATGTAAAAAAAAAAAAAAAAAAGAAAACAAATACGTGGGAAACCCTCTTTGCCGTTGATGGCAAGGAATTATACCTCCACGACGCGATAATGGAAGGCTATTGCACATCATTCCTTAATTATAAACCTTCGCAGGTTGATGATGATGCTTTTTGGGCGGTGTTAGGAGGATTCGTTCTGATCGTTTTGAGTCAGGAGATTACATGCTTATTTCCTGTTTTTTTTTTTTTTTCCTTTTTTTGGTGGTTTGGTAATATTGCTTGCTTTTACATCACTTCTTGTTAGGCTTTTTCGTCATGTGGGGGTCGTGGCTGGATCAGATACAGAAGAGGCTCGACGACGTCTCCGGACTTGCGGAGCAAGCGATAATCATGGGCGGAGGCGACGAAGAGGGGGAGGAGGAAGAGGAGGATGAAGGGAAGGAGACAGAAAAAGTGGAAAACGTGCAGGGTACGAGTGGTGGCCGCAGCATGTCTCCTCAGCCGTCACCGGAACCCAAACCGCAACAGGGAACGCACGGCACAACTTTTCTCATTCATGCGGATGATACGGTGGATGGGTACTCGCTTCCACATGAGGGAGTGGCGCTGGCAGCAGCTGCGGCATCCATGCCGTTTCAGACGAAGAACGCGTCGTGCTTTTTACCGGCCACACCGACAGAAGAACTGACCGGCTCCGCCGTGATGACGGCTGTTGGGGGCACTGAAAAGGAGCCACTTCCAGTCGTGGGATTGCCGGTGCGATTGGTGGAGTCTCTGGAGGCTCCCGCAGCTCCCACAATGCCGGAAACGGTAGTGGAAGTCGCAGCAGCGGCGCCAAAGCTAACTACGGAGGCAACCACACCCGCAGCTGTGGCTTCCACAGGTATTGATACCATTGCTCAGGATGACGCGGCACCGCATCCCTATAGCTGTCAACAGAGCCTATTGGCAGGTGGCGGGAACGAGGACCAGCTGCTTCGGTTCCAGCAGGTGCTAGCAGAGGAACTGGAGGTGTCACGACTCCTGCGGGAGGAGAAGTGCTGCCTTCAAGACCGCATAGGGACACTGGAAAAGGAACTGAGGGATCTTCGTCTGTTTAAGAAGAACGCTCTTCTCGCTGACCCGAAGAAGTTGGAAGCCTTGGAGCGGGAAGGCATGGAGCTCTCCACAAAATTGGGGAATGAGCGCGAGCGGTACAAGTTGCTCTATGAGAAGAAGACACAACTTGAGAGCCGCGTGGAGACACTGGAGAAGAAACTTGCCCAGTGCGCGTTGAAAGAAGAGGAGTTTCAAAAAAGTATAGCGGCAAGCCACACCGACTGTGAGGCAGCGAAACAGCATGCGGAGGAGCTTCGTGTATTTGTAGAAGTGCAGGAGAGTAAATTACAGCAACTGCAGCGGCAGCTGACGAGCGCAAAACAGAGTCGCGCGGAACTCGTGGTGGAACACGAGAAGGAGCTCGCACAGCAAAAGGCGGAGCTGACCTTTCAGAGGGAAAGTATGTCAGGCGCACTGGTCTCGTTGCAGCGGGAGAAGGAGGCTATTGCGTCGTCATTGCAACGGACCCAGATGGAGTACGAGCGGCGAATTCAGGAGCTGGAAAACAAACTTCTTCAGGCGAATCGTCGTGCCGATCAGGCGGAGGTGCGGCTCACGGATCATGAGCGCTCCGTCCTGGCGCCCCTTCGGGAGCTTCGAGCCGCGCTGGATGACGTGGAGCGGCAGAAGAGGCTGCTGATGGAAGAGGTCGAGTACTGGAAAGGGGAGTGCTCCGCGGCGGAGCGGAGTCGGGAGTCCGAGAAGAAGCACTTCACACAGCGACTGGCAGATGCGCAGAGTGAAGTGCAGGTGGCGCACGATGAGAGGCTTGCCGCCGAACAGGAGCTGCAGGAGTTTAGGGGAAAGCATTCACAGGCTCACAAGGCCCTGGAGAGGGCTCTTGAACGTGCCTCCGATGCAGAAGCGAAGAAGGAGCAACTCTCCATTGCTTTAGAAGAGGTGGTACGGCGGATGGAGGACGCTAGCAGCAGTAACAACAACATCAGCACGCCCAACTCCATTTCACACGTGGGAATTGGGGAAATGACACGGCATTCACCAATTTCCATTGAGGGAGGTGCTAACAGCACACGGGTTCCATTGTTTCAGGTGGAGACTACCGAGTCGGTGGGTGACTTCTGCCGCGGCAGCCGCAGTCGTGCGGAACGGGAATTGGTGCGACAGGCCGTTGAGATTGAGCGTCTTCGCCGCGTAGAGGAGGAGGGTGCAGAGGCGAAGCGAAAACTCTTGGCTCTCGCTGCCCAACATGATCTTCTTATGCAGATGTATGGGGAACTGCAGGAGGAGCTTCAGAAGAGCCAGCTGGAACGGCCGTCAAAGTAATTGGCGCTTGAAATACCGTTGATATCCGCATGGTGGCGCGCTGACGGTCTTTTTTTTTTTTCTTACTTCCCTATCCACTTGCTTGGTTTTTATTTCTTTCAAGGCCCTTGACGCAAGGCGGCAGAAAGGAAGGGGTGGAAGTGGTGAGAAAAAGAGGATGCGTGTCAGTTTGCATTTTTGCTTTACTTTGTCAATGGTTGCAAGAGGGGCTTGCCCGTGTGTATGTGTTTGTGTGTTGGTGCCGATGGTATTTTTTGCATTTTTTTTCTTTTTACTTTTTTTTTTTTACTCTCCGGCCTGCTGCGGTAGAATCAGCGGTCGGGCACTGGCTTTCGGTGTCTTGCTTCTGATCCAGGCGTGTGGGGCAATCTCGCTTGGGGTCGCCTTCGTATGGCTGCTTCGCACTCTGTGTGCCACGCGTGTGGGGGCTGCCGCGACGCCCTGCCGCCGTGGTGGGGCATCGTCTCTTCCTCCTGCCACCGACGTTGTGGTGGGCTCTGTTTTCTTCATGACGCGTGTGCAGCACGCACAGGCCTCGAAGCGGCGCTCAACGCAACAGCAGCAGGAGTTCGTTGGCTTCGTGGATGAGCTGCTCCTGCTGCGCCATGGGGAGCGGCTGGACCATGTGGATCGGGCATGGAGGGCCACCTCGCTGCTTCCAGAGGCCGATCCCCCACTCTCTGCTGCCGGTCGACGGCAGGCCCTTGAGACGGGGCTCATGTTTTTGCAGAAGCGAAAGCACAGGAAGGTGCGGCAGCGGGCGTTGGGGATGCTTTCGCTGCTGCTTATCTCCCCCTTTCACCGCTGCATTGAGACCGCCCTCATTGTGAACATCGTTGGCTTCGATGGTAAGCTTGCCATGTTTATCGATCCCCTGTTGTCCGAGTGGCACTCTACAAAGTTGTTCTCCCGTCCACCGAGGTTGGGTGGTAGCTACAAGCTCACCAGAGAAATGATCACCTTCCGGCCACAGTGGGAGGCGTTGGGTTCATCTTTGTGGACATTTTTTCGTTCCGCTGGGAATGGCACGGAGTACGGCATTGATGATGTTATGACCACGCGATGGCTCTCTGTACTTGAAACACAGTACGCACAGAATCCTTCCTTTCTTGTATGGACCTCCGTGTTAATGCAGGAGTCGTTGCGTCGGAATTTGCACTCGGAGAGTGGTGTGGTGCAGCGCGTTTTGGGCGGCACCAGTCGCAGTGACCTCAGTGGTATCAACTACCCAGAGAACACGAAACACATGCTGCGTCGAGTCGGGGAGGCTGTGGAACTGCGTTTTGACGCCAATGCAGGGGAGACTGCTGGCGTGCCCGCGTGTGTCAAGGCGGCCGAAGAGCAGGAGGCGAAATATCTCCCTCGCCGATTCACACATCGACCAAGGATGGCGTCAGCAGGAGGAGCGACAAGTGAAGAACGTGCGGTGCTTTTGCCCCCCGCCCGTATTATGATGGTGACACATGCGGAGGTGGTGGCCATGGCACTGAAGCATTGCTGCCCCAAGCACCACAGCCTGGACAGCCGGTTTTCTGTTCCGTACTGCAGTCTCACGTCTCTGTCGCGCGTGAATGATTACTACTGCGCCCTCGACGACGGGGCACCGGATGCGCGGGGGCCTCGAAGGGCATCCGAGAAGTCCTGGTGTGTGGGGACGGTGGGGTCAACTGCACATCTGCAGACAACCATTCTCCTCCGTTAGAAGTGGACGGGCCGAATGACGGCACCACACGTGCAACAACAAGAGAAAAAGAAAGGTAGAAGGAAGAGAGGGTCACCAGGGCGTGCGTACGTGTCATGCATTCTTCACAAAGGAAGTAGAGAAACAAAATGCAAGAACAAATGGGCTTCAGCAACGTGACTCTGACATTCTCCACCCCTTTCTGAATGAAAGAAACTGACCAATACCCCCGCAGCGCGAGCCATGAAAGGCCTCTTCTGCATCATGTGCTGCTTGAAAGGGAAGAAGACATGCTTTTTTTTTGGCTTTTCTTTTTTTTTTTCTATCATCATGGTTTCACTCAAGTGTCAGTTTATTTATTGCTTTTGATCCAGCAGAGCTTGCTTTGAAAGATATGCCCCAGAGGAACGTGTGTCAGCAATGCAAAGCGTACGACGAAGGCGCCGAGGACCCCCAGGACGGGCGGTTTTATTGCAATTCCTGCTGGGCGGCCTACAACGGTTTCAGCGGTGGCACCAAGACTGGTGCGACGAATGGCGGTCGCCGTGGTGACAAGGAAAAGAAGGAGCGGGCGCCACGCCGAAAAGAGCTCGCGGCCATGAACAATTTGGGCCACGATGCCCAGGGTGTCCTTCGTCGACTGGAGGGCATGTACGCAAGCTGCTCGCATAAAAGACGCCCTGAAATCCAGGCGACGAGTCTTCTGGAGGACGTGTCGATGGTCATGGCCGACACTGACAAGCAACAGCGCGCGAGTTCCTTTGTTGGACAGTTCATGCAGCGGCAGCGGACCATCACGGTGGTGTCTCACTTGGGTGAGCCCCTCTCGCCTCGTGGCGATCGTGTAGGATGTGTGGGGCGCTCCGCATACCAGGAGAGTCGCAAAGTGCCGCTGGACATTTTGCTCTCCAGCGTAGACGATATCGTCTCACAAATATATGTTAACTTTGATGAGAGCATGACGCAAGTCATCCTGAATGCCCTTGACAGGGTGACAGCGTGCGATACACAGAACCAGCGGGACGCCATGCGGGTGCGTGTCATTGACGAACTTCTGGAGACCCTTGGCGACGAACACTACGATCTCCTCCAGTGTGTCATGCACCGACCACGTGACATCTTTCTTCGTCTTCTGGAGGAGTTCTGCACTCTTGAGGACGACGATGACAATACGGGTGCCGGGAGCACATCTGCCGCGTCACCACAACACGCACTAACCGTTCGTTTTGTGAAGACAGCAAAGCAACGTTCAGCCATGCGGGAGGTGGTGTTTGCCCACAATGGTGAGGCGACGGACCAACGTTGGCTGGCTCACATGACACAGCGGTATCGACAGCTCATGCGAGAGTCGGACTTGGATCAGTTATTTAAGCGTGATCTCAGCGTCATTGGTTCCTCCATGCCTAGTGGTGCCACTGTTGTGCAGAAGAAGGACCACATCCGTATTCA